TCTCTGTCTATCCATCCCTCTCCTTCTCTTTCTTTCTATTTATCCAACTATCCATCTGCTTCCTTTCTTTCACTCGTCTTTCAAACTCGCTTCAATCGAGTCTAATGAGCCTCTATTATTAACAACTACGAATTAGGTACAAATACTAACCAAATTAAAAGGATTTCTTTCGACATTTGTCACACACACGAGCGTGCACGCACACAGTTTCATAATCATAAGCTATGACAAAGTAATACGGTTTTTTCGTAGGTGAACAAATACTTTCTATAGGATTTCCAATCTCTTTGAAAGGACGACCCACCGTTAGTAGCGGAGTGGTATCAAAGTCGTCGAAACATATGCTTCAAACCAATTGTTGCGTGTACAGTGGCGTCAGCGGCGGGCCCATTGTTCGACGCGCCAATTTTGAAATGTTAGGCATAGTGGTTTGCAACGTCGCTTTATCGAACGATTCTCTTTCATATCCACGATTGTGCATGGCAATACCAACTGTTGTTCTAAAAAACCCGCTGGACGATTATCTACGAACTGCCGGTACTTTACACATACGAATACACGAATATTTCCTTCGATGGCCTTTTTCAATCGTAAATCGTGAGAAAAACTATTGCACAATTTTCAGATCCTAAAGCGTTGGAAGGACTGACGCAACACGATGAAAGCGTTGCAACCACGTGGAATTTTTGTCCTTTTCTTCTATCGAACATGTGATCGAATGTTCGACGAATGAATAAATGGTAAGCAAAGTAGTAAATATACGTACGCGATACAAGTATAAGAAAATAAGCTTTGTAAACTTTTCCATATATAGCGTGTATTAATTACGCGAGATCTGTTTTTCCGGGTAAAAACGCAACTATGTGTACACACACACACACACACACACACACCACAAATAAAATATTCTTTTGTTGGTAAATTTATAAATAACGTAACGTAACTTTCATAAATTCCATTCGTTGATAAACACTTTCGTCAATTTACATGAAATAATTTTATTCGGTTTATATCAAAAGATACAAAAGATAAAGCAACGTAACGATCAACTCATTTACCGATTCATTGATCATACGCGTTTATACATATTTATATACACACGTTTACATATGGAGAGAGATATTTATCGTTTCATTATAAATAAATAAATATTATAATACATATTTCCCCGACAGCAGAATTTCACCCAAACAGAGATTTTAGGAACTCTGTTCTATCTGTTACGGATTTGCTTTCCTTCTTGCTTCTGATTTCAGCATCTGTGTCCCTTTGTTTTATCACGGCTGGTACAAACTTGCTATTCTCATCTCGTCGCGCTCTATGTAGTTTTCTACTTTGGTCGACGTTGTGCGAATAGAAGTTTGCCTCTCGTTTTGCCTGTGCAATTTCAATTTGTAGCCTTTGTTTACGTACTGCACGTTCATAAGCCAAACGTTCGCTCAGATGAATCCATTTGAATCTAATAAACACGATACGATTAAATTGCAAACTGCCACTTACACGACAGAAAGTGCAAACACCTTTTAAAAACTATACCGACTATAACAGACCATACCTTGGAAGATATTTTACGTTCCAAATAACATCGTAAAATTTGCTCCTTTTTCTAGTTGATATTTGGGTATTGTTCAACGTAAGTGCAACGTACTTTGCTATTTTCTTACTTTCAAATTCAACCCAACCCTCGGTAAAGAACTTTGTACCAACTTTCTTTCGTTTCTTTGTTCCACCATTCCGCTCCAGTTCTGTAGGAAAGAAACAGTACAATGCACATTCGTTTTAAAAAAAAAATCTCATTGTTAAAAGCACGTGCAGGTAAAACCATTTAGAAAGAATTTCTAGTTTGTATGTCAAGTATCAAATAGAGGTTATGTCACGTACACACAACATCCCTGTGTACATTTCAAACTTATTTCAGTACATTTATGCGTGATAACTAACCATTTTCGGCTAATTGTAAATAGATTCTTCCAACTTTACCGTACGCAGAAAACAATTCACGAATTTTCGTGATATTCATGTATTTAGGTATGCTAGATAAATATACAATTCCCCGCTTTCGTTTCTTTACTTTAGCTGTATCGTTAAATATCACACCCTCTGTACTTTCGGTACTTTCCATTTTTACAACGTTGTTTTTTAAATCGTCATTCATTGGTATCGAATTTTTCTAGCTTTCCGACTTTATTCCACCAGGCTTTATTCCACTGTACTTACGTTTGATTTTTCAGCGAGTGAAAATTAACCCCATCTCTTGCACGAACAACAAACTATGCAAGATAGTCAAACGCCACTCTCTGCTTACTTCCTTAAAACGCTGCATTTTCTTTTATTATATTTTCGTTTATTATTATTATTGGACAATTTTCAGATTTACGATTCGACCCGTCTTTCGTTTTTAATTTATCGTCATTTCAAATTTCACACGAATACTCTTGATAACTAACACTCTGTTACATGCAATAGTAATATACCATACAATCACTACAATACTGGTAATATTTTTCAATATTCTTCAATTTATTTACAATTTATTCATAAACTCGTACGTAGTACGTATCTTTCAAACTTGTTATCTTTTTGTCTTTATTAATTATCGTGACAATTTCCGTTTCCGCATAAAATTTAACAAAAAAGAAAAATGTACATACACGTATATTTATATATATTATATACTTATAGGTTATCACATACGTATATAAGGAAAGATAAATCAAAATGCATATATAACGCAACGTAATGAAAGGCATAAAATATATCGATATAACGTAACTTGGAGCGTATCGTACACGAGAGAAATGCAAAATAGTCGTGGAATCGAAAAGAGTAAAATATCGTCAGTTAGAATCGAAGGTAGCCTGTTCGACGCGGTATAGCGCTACTGGTTTGCTCTTCTCGTTGCGCAACGAGAAGCGCGCAGCGTCTCAGTGTGTGCAGAAAGATACAAGTGCGTTTGTAACATCATGTATCGTTGAGAAACGTCTCATTTTTCTACCAGCTACGTTACTTTGATCAAAGTTTTACGGACCGGGTTCCGTACGAATAATTCTCCCATGGATTAACTTAATAACAACGAAACAGCGACGGATGTCCTAGAATTTTTGGGAAACGTTACTTGGCTGACTTAAACAAAATGGCGACCATCTTTTTCTTGGCGGTACTGTTTACTTGACCGTGAACGTTATGTTTTTTACAGAGTGTGACATTAAAGGTGTTGTGTAGTCAACTTCTTCACTACCAATTAATATCAGTGTAATTTGCTATTTTTAAAAAATTTTGTGCCGCTTATCATTTCCAAAGTCGTCATTTTCATAACCGTGCACCGATAGAATAATAGGTAACAATAACCGATAAACGCGAACAACACGGCGAACAATATCATTATACGGGTATAATAATCGTCGCTTCTGCCTCTTCTGATACCGATGTATCTCTATATATCGTCCGGCGAGCTTTTGTCGCACATCGGTGGAATTTTATCTCATTTCGCCGATTGATCGAGGAACGTGGCTATCAGAATCGGAATTGTCTTTTCATCTTTCTTCCGGTTGCACTATCCGCTATCGATGCTCGTTCGAATGTTATCCTTCTATTTTAAAAGCCTGTGTAAACTTTCACTCGTTTGGATACGGCGACTTATTTTCGAGACGTCCTGCAACTGTCCTCTTTGATACGACGGGGAAAGCGTGTTTGCGAAACAACACACCGCGACAGTGATTTCCATCAGCTTATAGAGAAAAATGTCCAGTTCGTACATTATCGAGCCACGAGAGAGTGGATCAGGAAAGAAGGACGATACGTTAATCATCATTGTCAACGACGATGGTACAATATCCGTCGACCAAGAAACATTGCAGAGTTTGATCAGTGAGTTACACACGTCAGTCGTTCGACGACAACGTCAGCATCGACAAGCTCGGATATCGACTTTATTTACTTCAACTACTTTTAGTGAATCAGTCCAACGCGAATGTCAGCGTTGTTAGAGTAGGACAAGCAGATACAGACGCCGAGAACGGAGATATCACGTTAACCGTAGACCCACCCATGTTCACGTCAGCAGCTACAATTAATTCCGGTGGTACAACTTCAGATGCAAACAGTTTGGTCGACCCTTTCATGGAAATGGATCCAGAACAGTTGGAACGATTAGAGACAGCTTTACAAAGCGAAGAGGCGAAACAAATTCTCGGAGAGAATGTTACAGCGATGCTAGGTAATGTTGTGTTCTCCATTCTGCGTTCTACGTTCTACGTTCTACGTTCTACGTTCTACGTTCTACGTTCTACGTATCGAAATTATGCTCCTATCGACCGGCTCCAACACTCGTTCGTGCAACATTGTACGTCTCGCTCGTATAAATTGCAATTGATTCAATTCAAAAGTTCTTGCTCATCGATCTATCGTTCCGTGCGTTTCGACCCTTGGCACCCTTCTCTTAGCACTCGCACAAGCCCTCGCTGATTTGACACACGGGACAAAGGCAATTCTGAAATTCTGAAATTCTAACGTAGGAGAGTACTTTGTATCTTAATTGCTACACAGATAAATAAAGTACGTTTCGTAAAGTACACGTAGTTATCAGTAACGAACAGTTACCAAACGTATAGAGTTGCACTTGCGTTTGGTAAAAGAGAGCGAGTTCGTCAATTTATTTATCTACATTTTACAGACATGTTAACGGTGGAGGAACAACAAAACTCTATAAGGTACAGCGTTAAATTGGATCATTGCTACACGAGCAGGCTATCGCCTTCCGATCCAAAACCGAGGGATCCGTTGCCTGTTATCGATTCACCTACTTCCGACGACGGTTTGCAATACGCACGTCAACATTCACCTGCTCCTGGAACATCGAAAACCTCGTCGTCGTCGTCGCCCATCGGCGGTGACGTTGAAAATGCAGTGGCCATCAAGTCGAAGGTTATCAGCAAGACTGTGAGTACGGTAGCGCGTGATTTAATTTAATTCGGCTAGTTCGTGGGATCGAAGATCGATCGTTACGTTGTCTGTTACGTCGTTTGTTGTACAGGGGAAACCGGTTGGTCGACCACGAAAAAATATTCCCGCGTCTTCCGTTCCCATCTGCAACAGTAATTCAAGATCGTCGGCCGGTATAGCAAGCACACCTAAATCTATCGGACATCCGGTATCAAGAAATTT